GAATAAAGGAAGTCTCTACTTCCATCCAAATAGAGAGACAAAAGCCTTAAGTTATAATCTTGTATCTTCAGCCTGAAAGCTGATACTATTGTCCAAATACTGAAGCAAGCCACTGGAATTTTCATTTCCTACTTAATTGTGGTGGGTTTTATATACTTATAATTACAAAAAAAAAAAAAGTAGTTACCAAATTATGCACAAGTTGATAAGCAAAAGTACAGAAACTCTACATTTTGTAAAATACTTGCAGCTTGCTGCCATAAGCAAAGAAAATTCCTTTCAGGAAAGTAATTAATAATCTTTAACTGTCTTTCTTAGTGAAGAACAATCTTGTGTGTGTCTGTTAAGGGGCTTCTATAAAAAGGTGGGGTTTAAAATTATTTTTTATTATTTTCTCATTCCTCCTTTACCTCTGTCTGTGGTGTCTGTAGCGAGCCCTGGATTTAGATATTAACTCTTTTACTTCATGAGCAAGTAGAACCCAATGGTTATTATTTCAATTAATTCTGTAGACTGAGAGGCTGGCCTGGAACAATCAGCAGGAAGCAGTTAGGGAAACATAAGTGTTTTGATGTGTTTGCCTGTGTCTCATTTGCATTTTGTTATTGTGTTGAGTTTTTTTCAGGTAAATGAGAGCTAGTTTATTATCATGGCTTAATAACAGTGTGCCCCATTTGAGCTGTGCTAACTGTCCTTGTGCCTGCTCTTAACCTACAAAAAAAGCACACAAAATAATGTGACCTGGCCTACTGTAACAGCGCGCTCTAAACCAAATTATCTTACATCTGTCGTATTCAAAACCCCCACACTCTGAGTTCCCCCGTGTGTAACTCAGAGTTACCCTGTTGTAACTTATTTGATACAGAATGTAACGTCACTCTCTGCCTCTGAACTTCAAATTGTTTTCTTGTTTGTGGCTGGTGAACCCAAAATCCCATCTGCCCTATGTGTACTTTACTGCAGAAGGTTGGCTGCTTGCTTTTGTGCTTTTGCAAGTCGGGATATAAATCATATTCACCAGTATAACATTTATGGTCTACCCATAATCCATGTTACGCCTTTATACAGGACTGGGGTAAACCAACACTGATGTGGTTGCGATTACTTGGCGAGATGATTATTCCAGTATTACAGCAACTGCATCATGAGCATCACTGGGCTACCACAAAACTTAACTTGGCTACAAATGCTTTTCCAAATTCACAAACTCTCCAGTTCTCCCTTGGGAGTTGTTTTGTAATGCTGCTAATTATTTACACAAGCACAGAAATTCTGACAAAGAAAACAAACTGAAAAGCTAATCCCATGTAGAAAAAGTGGCTGATATGTTCACAAGAGGTTGTTACCATTGTTACTTCGATATTTAATGTTTTTCCCCTCATGCTTTTAAACTAAACTTTTGCCCTCATTAATTTAGGGGTTCACTTACATCAAGCAGGCTGAGTTTCATGAAATTTTTGAAGTATGTAATTAATATCCGCTCTTTACAAATCAAAGTCACCACTGAATTCAAAAGTGTCTATTTTAGCTACAATTCCCAATTACTTTATAGTAATCGTATATAAGGTAATAGTGTGAGTATAGTAATATATATTATATACTATATAATAGTCCATGTATATAGTAAATAGCTAGTTATAAACCTACCAGTTTGACTCTTATGAAAAATATTATAAAATTACAAATCAGTGAGAGCAATGGTAGCAATTTACGTGGTAGTGCATAAAGAGTTATGTTCTGACTTCTAAAGTACCTTAAGAGAGATGCTAGTTCCACTTGAAGAGCAAAACTCTTAGGAAACACCAGTATCCTTCCCTGAACACAATCAGATCAGCTTTATTTTCTTTTATTTTTTTTAACAAACACTTTATATCACATTTTCCCAGTAACATTATCTGTTCCAATATGTATCCAAGTCTTTCTAACAGTGAAGCTGCTATGCAGACTTTCTGATCAGATTGTTCAGTACTTTGTGAAAAGCAGGAAACTCTCGAATACCCCGTTTTAGGATTCCCATGAGGCTGCCATATCTCATGTCGGACTGAAAGAAGATAAACTTCCATGGTTAGCTTTTCTATTTGAGCCACTAAGATAAGAATTAAAGTAGAAGGGAAGAAAACCATCTTTTTTTTCATAACTGTTCATAAGAACTAAGCAAGGCACATGTTGGCCTCACTCCTTGAATGTGGAAGCTTGAGCAGAAGTTTCTGTCCTATTTTTTTATGAGTTCTGTAACTGCCCAGTTAAATACAAGCAACAGAGAAAGCTCTGTGACTTCAGCAGGTGAGTCTGAGTGGCTTTGCCCGGAATATCCCTGTGGCCTTTCAGGAAATGCCAGCAGCAAAAAAAATGCTGCGTCCTTACGCTTTCAGCCCATCAACAGCACCACTGTCGCATGAACACCGAGCTCACCTGAGAGAAAGCACCAGTGCACCATTGACAGTATATTAATCCTCTTTCTTAATTTTGAATTTTTAAAAGTCATCCTTCAGTGCAATGAATAGTTCTCTCAAGTAAGTGAATTCCTACCAGAATGACTGAGGTTTAAAATGTATTTTTCCCCAGCCCAAAACCAAAGGACATCCTTGCAAACAGCTTTTTTGGGTACAAAGTAAGCTCACCTCACAAAAAATCCAATAAATGACTTTATTAAATATATTCTTTTCCTCTAAAATATAAATATTCACTATACTCTTATAAATGTGGAGTAGGTCCATATTTCATTTGTCTATCCCATCCAAATATGAATCAGTCCAAAATCTGAAAATGAAGAAATAGCATCTGTAATTATCATTATTTTTTCTATAAATATATATAATATGAATTTGCTTTGCAAACTGTTTAGTTATTCACTTATACTTCATATAGTACTGAGCACCTTAGATTACATACTGTGTCATTTAATTGTTGGTACTAATATAGGAATTTGTAATATTTACAATGCACATACATGTTAAGTATAACATTCCAGTGATTTGTAAGTGTTAAAGGAATAAGGAAATAGTGCAGTATAGTTTACGTATGTACTTAACCTACCCCACAGTATGCAAGTTTTCACTTTAACCTCTGGAACTTTCACAGGAGCCTGCATCCAGATCTTTAGGTTGTACTTTGGAACAGCAATAAAAATGTCCTGAATAACTTTTTAGAAACTTCACACAACATTTTACTTGATGAGGCGATGTGATTTCATACTCAAAGACCCAGTCCCCCAGCGTACCAACTGCTCTCAGCTTCTCAGAAGACATTCTAGAAGCTTCCAAGTCAAAGGAGACCAAGGTAACTGTCTCAGAAAGTTACGTGCATGGCAGCAGTCGTTAAATCAGAAATGTCCATTTGGAAATTATTGGTTATTTATGTAACATTATCTCCTGCCTTGTGAATTTACATGAGGAATTAAGTGCAAGTACCGTGACAGTAAAAACCAAGTTCACAGCTAGGTACATCCCCTCCCAGGCTTGCTGTTGACTGGTGAGAGGTGCGGGGAGTGGGGCTGCTCTTCCAAATGGTCATCTAGCTGTTGTTCTTCAATGCTCATTTTCAGTATTTGCAAATTCAGCCTATCATCATCTTCGTTTTCTAATTAGTTTTGATAATTGAGATATCTATGGAAACCACCACAAACTAATTCCTACACTGTGAATAAACAGCATAACTTAACTCTCAAGACTTAGCTTAAAACCATGGAACCAAACTGTGTTTTTAGGTTTCCTCTTTGCCAGTCAAGTGACCCTAAGTTGCAAGTTGTGTGCTTTCTCAAGAATAAAAGAAATGGTGTAGTATGACAAGCAGACTTCTACAAACTTTGGATTTATTACTTCCTGTACAGTTCCTGTCCTTCAAAGTGTAAATTTAGGGCAAAACTCTAAAAGCAAACAAAAATCCACCCCTGTATGAAGCAGTTCCATTTACACAGTAAGAGGAACACAAATGCCATCCTTGTTCTGCTTCTTTCTGTTCCCACCCAGCCACGTTAAGCTGATTTAGTAGTTGCAGGTGGAAGCTGTGTGCATGATCCCTGACAATGAAGGTCAGAGTTCCTGCCAGCTGCCTGCTTTGTGCCCAGTATAACTGTGAACTAGGCCAAAACTCAGGGATTCACATGTTTTGACTTAAAGCAGTAAGCTGTGGTGCAAAACAGGAACCAGTAAGTAACGAGTACAGAGGTGAACATCTTAACGTTTCACCAGCAAGGAATGAATCTGGACTTGCCAAGTCACGCTCGTAGCAGCAGTTCCATGTTAAGGCTTTTCTGGCAGTGAAACTCTCTTCCTGCCCCGGTGCATTTCCTCGCTGTTGTGGAGCTGCTTAAATAACTTTTCTGATCTAATCTAGAAAACTCTCAAAATCAAATCTTCCTCTTTCCCCAAATTTCTTCTTCTATAAAGACCACACAAGCGGCCTTGGCAGAGCAGAGTGGGTGACACAGTAGGGTAGGAGGACAGGAAGCGCAACGTGGCTTTCTGTTGGCAAACTGTTGTGGAAACATGCTGGCAGAATCTTAGGTCATGCTTCAACACGGGTTCAGGGAACTTGTACCTGAGCTGGGGGGTCCTGGGTAGATGAAGCTCAATAAGCTGCTCTAAAAATAGATCCTGTGTGTTCATTAACAAAGGACACTCCTATCTGTGCCCCACTGACAGCCGGCTCTCAGTACATCACTAGAGCTAGTCCTGTTCTGGGCCCATCGCTAGGAACATACGCAAGATGTCTTTACCACTCAATGTGAAAGTGCCCTCTGGCAGGGAGCTCCAGCTGTTCACTGACCACAGCTGTATTGCTTTAGAGCATCTGACTCGAAGGTGCGTATGTCACACTCTGCTGGGTATTCAAGGAACAGGTTCTGATGGCGCCCCAAAAGAAAAACCTTCTGTAAGAGGTGCACAGGTAGCACAGAAAAAAATATTTTACGTTTGGGTGGTGGGACAATCTTGTTTGGAAAACTTCTACTCAACCAACCTTGAGCTTGCATCACAACTCACACCCAGTCTTGTCTGCTTAGCCCTTTACTTATTCTATATAAACAGGTACATTGAAATAGGCACAATTTATGATTCTGAAACATTTACACTGATGGTACTACACGCTTTTACTGTCTGATACGGGATTTTAAAATCCCATTATTTACAATGAAATCCACCGTTTTCCTTGTCATGCCACCTCCTTAACTGATCAACAAGAAACCTGGGCCTTGGAAGACTGCAGAAATGACCAAGGCCTGGGACTGAACCCCAAGCTGGTGTATGCTGCTAGCTGGTATGGGTTGCTGCTGTTGACTGTACTTCAGGTTAGCGTGGTCGCTCCATCTTTCTTTGAAGACAAAAATTTATCCCACTTATGCCACCAAGCCAAGCCTTGTAATCTTTGCTGACAGGAAGGAATGAATGATGAACACAATTGGTTTTGGACAGGAATGAAGGTCCAGTTGCTGAAAGTATAGAAAGAAATCAAGTTGAGAATGATTAGATTAGATCTCAGCTCAAATAAGTAATCATTTATAGAGTACTTGATTAACTGCTGCCTGTTTTTTTCAACAGACGCCTATGAATGACAACCCTTAATTCCAACACATTGTCTTTCCTTTGCATGCAGCTGCAAATATTTAGGTTACTATAAGTAATAAGCGTCTTGAGAGCAGATGAGATCCTGGTACATCTGGGCTTGCATCCACCTGAGTGAGCAGCAGAAAACTGAGTCAGATGCTGCAAGCAGTTTTCCAAGAGGTTCGACCCCTCCATCTTTTCAGGCTCTGTTCCTGCCCAGGGATGGTGGTGGGACTGCTGTGTCCAATACCCAGTGCATCTGCTGTTGGTCACAGCTGAAGACAGGATGCTGCACCTCCAGCTGATGCTGCACAGTTGTTCCTCTGTTCACACAGCTGGCAGTGAGACTGAACTGAGACTTTTCCATACTCACAGTTCAGATGATCTCACTACGTGCTTGCTAAGCATGAAAGCCTGACAATAAGCAGTTCACAGAGTATATGTTACCCCAGGTAACGTGAAGAATTAAGCACCCAGGAACTGCTGAAAAAATTTTGGCAGGAAAGAGCATGTTTACATGCATCATTTATGGTATCTAAACGCATAGGAATAATCCCCGTATTTTTAGGCATTGTGACAGTTAACTTCGAGCTGGTTTGCACTCCATCTGTAGTCCTCAATTTTTTCAGCAATGTTAAAAAATATCTAAAACATAGCTTGTTGTCATAACATGAAGTCCCTACATGTATGCTGGAATTCATAATATCTCGTTCTTAAGTTCTTCCATCTGCAATCATTTAAAAAGTGAAATGGCTACATATCAAAGTTCTAAAATCTGGCTATGCGGAGAACAGTTTGTTCTTAAATATAAGAAAACTTTAATCCCTCTTTGCATGGTTTTACCATTTTATCTGTCTTTTTAGTTTATCTTGTTCTAGAGCCAGATAGTCATGCTGTACTAGAAAGCACAGCATCGAAATACTGGTACTGGAACCTGTACTGGCCAGCTGTTATTAGTGCTCCTCCACCTCCACAGCCTGAAAGAGCACTGAGGAGATGGTAACACGCATCCCTCTGCCAAACACAATACTTACAATTTCTCCATCCTTTCCTCCAAAGTCTAAATAAAGCATCCTTATCCCATCATCCGAGGACATTTTCAGTTTTTCGTAGGGATACTGTGCAATTGTCTTAGAGAAGGCACCATCTTGCGGTTCAGTTGTAAGAGAGAATCCATGTTCGTAATGGATGGTCAAACGGCACTCCTGGCTTTTATACGTGCAAGCTGAAGGAGGAAAGAACATGTCTTCATCAATTAGATATAGGACTTGAAGGACTGCTAGCTAACTTCGCTGATGACACCAAATTGGGAGGTCCTGTGGACACTCTCGAGGCCAGAGAGGCCCTGCAGAGAGACTGAGATAAATTCAAGAGCTGAGCAATCATCAAATGTATGAATTTTAACAAGGGCAAGTGCTGGATTTTGCACCTGGGACACAGTAACCCTGGATACACACACAGCCTGGGGAACGAGAGGCTGGAGAGCAGCCCTGCGGAGAGGGACCTGGGGGTTCTGGTCCATGGCAAGTTGAACATGAGCCAACAGTGTGTCCTGGCAGCCAAGAGGGACAACCGTGTCCTGGGGTGCATCAAGCCCTGCATTGCGAGCCTGGCGAGGGAGGGGATCGTCCTGCTCTACTCTGCACTGGTGCGGCCTCACCTCCAGTACTGGCTGCAGTTTTGGGGGCCACAGTATAAAAAGGATATAAAGCTACTGGAGAGTGTCCACAGGAGGCCACTAAATTGGTGAAGGGCTTAGAGGGGAAGCCGTATGAGGGGAGGCTGAAGTCACTTGGTTTGTTCAGCCTGGAGAGGAGGAGACTGAGAGGAGACCACATCACAGTCTAAAGCTTCCTCACAAGGGGAAGAGGAGGGGCAGGCGCTGATCTCTTCTCTCTGGTGATCTATGATAGGACCAGCAGAAATGGCAGGAAGATGTGCCAGGGCAAGTTTAGGTTGGACATTAAGAAAGGGTTCTTCACAAAGAGGGTGGTGGAGCACTGGAACAGGCTCCCAGGGAGGTGGTCACGGCACCAAGCCTGACAATATTCAAGAAGCATTTGGACAACATCCTCAGACACATGGTCTAAATCTTGGGATTGTCCTATGCTAGGGCAAGAGTTGGACTCCATGATCCTTATGGGTCCCTTCCAGCTCACAACATTCTATGATTCTATGATTTAGTCTGTAATGTTCTCAAAAGCAACAAATTTTTGGGTGCAGATATCTGCATTTTACATTTGGTGTCAACACTATCTTGTGGAAACTAATGTGTCCTACACCAGGTCTAATCATGCTCTAACTGTAAACCTGCAGATTTGGGAAAAAAACAAAAATCATCATAACTAAGGTTTGATGACACGGACGCAAATTGTGCTCGGCAGTAGCAATACTGATGTCAGTCCTTTTGGTTATTCGCTGCATTCTTCCCGTTGCAGCGTAATCTACGTGCTGACACAAAAATGATCTTACAAATGTGAAGAAGGCTCAGGCTGGCATTTCCTCCTTCCAAACCTTGACAAAGTCAGAGCTGCTCTTCTTATGTCTGACAGACACAGCCAAAATCAATAAATGTGGTGCATAGTGCATGACAAAATTAGAAGCTGTAAAGAGTTTCCCTAAAGTATTTTGACAAAGATGAAGACACTCCTGAGTCCTCATTAGTGTTGTGGTAATTGAAAAAGGGCCCAGATGATTGTATATAACAGCTATGGCAGCAGAAAGTCTGCATCTTCCCCTCAGCTCAGAAACACAGGCCATGATCCAAATTAAAAAATGAAGAGTTTAGGCGTTCACATCCCAAATTCTACTTTTCCCCGCCTCCCAGTGAACAACTCTGGCAAGGAGGGTCCTTGTCACTGGGACAAAAGCACTGTGATAAAAGGGGCTCTGGCCATCACTCCTCAGTGGCACACAGCCCTACATGGCTGACGACAGACTTGTGTCTGAAACAACGTGCCAAAAACAAGACCAAAAGTCAGAATGACTGTGACTGTGTCCTGGATTTAGGGTACTGGCCACAGGTACCACACCAGCTAGGGCTGGCTGGGAGAGCAAGGGGGCAATATTTTAAACACACAGAACCCTAAATACGCACATTTTTTTTAAAATCAGTCACCTCTAGTAGAAGGAGCTTGAACTAACCACGAGTGTCAGGAGGAGGTGTGGAGACACTGTGGCAGGTGTTACTCACATGTGGTGATTTCCGTGATGAGCTCTGCAGAATTGTGGCAGCCCTGCACTACGCTCCTCGTCCACAGTGAGAGGTCTCGGCTGGTCTCCGTCCTGAACAGATGGGTTTCGATCCCTTGCCTTGTACCGGTACGGGTTGCAAAAGACAAATCCATCCCGGACTGCGGTGAGCCTTTTCCTGGGCCAGAATGGACCAACCTGCAATTGGATTTGAAAACATACCAGGGAATTACAACAGTGACACAGCACACTGCCACAATCCCCACCTGAGCCCGGCTCTGCTCTGTACATTCCTAAACGCACGTGGTTGGGAGCACGAGAATTCATATCTCCTCTGTATTGGAGCCTAAAGTGACTCCTAGGGACAGGCAGAAGAGTGAAGGTCCAAAGCAGTCGGACATGCAGGAGATGATGGGGATGTTCCAGAGGATCCTAAATTCCTAACGAACTGTAGAAAACACCCTTTTGGATGAGGAACTGATTCACTGACTGGTCTGTTGTGCTGGGGTTTGGTGAACAGATACAAGTGCTTGCTCACACCAGGCAGCTGAATCCGACTTTCACTGTCAGGGTGCGGTTGCCATAAAGCTTAAATATATGCAGACAAACTCAATGATAAAAGCTGTGAGGTAAAGCAAGAAGTTCCGTAAAATACAGAGGTGCCAAAGTACCGTCTTGTGCACACTTTTCCCATAAGGAATCTGCAAAATGCAAAATGCTGCAGCTATTTGTAATCGGAAGTTCTCTCACATTTTGCTGCAATTAACATTTCTTTGTCTAGCGTTAACAGCTGATCTCCTGTGACCAGGAAAGGTTTGTTCAGCTGGGCAAACACTAATTGCGGGGAATATTTCTGAGTGAGAAAATCAACAACTCATAATATTTTATTCTTCTTTAAGGCTGTCCTTTTGGGTTTTTCCCCTGCAGAAGTGTGGACAGTGAATACAGAATTCACTCAGGGACAAGACACTGATTCAGCTGAAAATCATCATCCAGAGGAGTTTGTCACGCTTTGAGACCCAGGCACTAACCCTCAGAGGGCGTCACAAAATGAAACCAGGGAAATTCATCTGAAAAGCTTATTTCTGTCTTGTGTCTCCCATTTCCCTTTCTATAGGCAAACAATATACTTCATATGAGACTATAAAGTAAGTATGTAGCATGGTAGTAGAATATTTGTGCTGGAGCATAAAACATTAGATTATACTAATCATCTACTGAATGCTAATTCACCCTCAAATTATTGTTTTGCATCTGGAAGAATAGTTGCCTGTTAGCTGACACTGTAGAAGTATGTCATCAAACAGAGATGTTTCAATAGGAAAAAAAAAGCAGAAAGGAAAGAAAAAAGCACAACTTTGGCTGAAACACTAACCATAGGGCATCTGAAATTTTCCCCAATTCCCTGGCAGTCTGTGCTGACATTTAGGATGTGCATTGTGCCCAACAGATCCATCAATCTCTCATACCACACTAGAAGGTTTGCAAGATTTGGCCATGCCCAGGTTTGTGGTAACTTCCTGTGGATTTTGAGCATCCACCTTGATTCCATAATCCCAGGAGGTGTCAGGACACAAGGGGCAAAGTATCCCGGGTAGAGCTGCCCTGCCCTATATCTGGACAGGAAAGCCTCTTCCAGAGAGGCACCACCACCCTCTCCAAATGCTTTTTTTTGCCTCCAGAAGGGCTGTGTTAAAGTCTCACTCAACTTTGATGCTTGGAGCCTCCTAACGCCACCCTGGGCAGATTTTGCAGTCACAGAGTCAGCAGCAAACAAACAGCCCAAAAACTTTTATTCATTTTGATTTGACATGAGGAGGTGCAAACTTCAAAGAGAAGCTGCATCTTGAAAATTAAGGCATGAGATTGGGAACTGAAATCTCCTGTGACCGCTGCTGCTGCCTGGCCCTGGCCAGTCGCTCAGGCACATGCAGGAAAAGCAGCGGGAAATATCACATCAAGTTTGTCATTAAAAATAACACTATCCCAGCTGCTCCCTGGGTCATCCTGTCTCTTTTATACAGTGCTCATCGGCTGTGCTAAAAATTGTTTTCTAATACTTGTCATACTGAATATGTAACAGACAGATGGTTCCAGTGTTTTATTTCCTTTCACATCCGTCCTCCGGCTCCCCTATATCTTCATGCTTTATCCATAGTGCTGGCATTGCAGGTTTTTCAGCATATGGATAGAATGAAGATGTACCACTTTACAAATTAAAGCATGTGGACACATCCAACAGGAACATCGTTTCTTGCCTGCCTTCTCATCCACATTATCCCGTCATTATTAAAAATTCCGTCTCACTATTTAGAAATCCTTTTCTATCATACAACCCCAGACTGTGCTTTGGAAAATCATGCAGTTAAACGTGAACTAGATAAATATGCAGGGGAATATTTGATAGTATTTATGTATCAGCTGTCAGTACTGATGTATTTGGGTACAGGGCAAAGTATTCCCAAGCTTTAATAAAGTTGCATTCACATGAGCCATTTCATTTATATAAAATATATTTTATCCTAAAGACCACAAAAATACCTTAAAAGGCAAAAGAATAGTCTTAGAAACTTCACAGAACGCTTCCCCTTGTCCCCACCTCCCGTCACTCTGACCACAGCTGCACCCTAGAGCCGAAAAGACACCCCAAGGCCAGCTCTGGTGATATCCACCCGCAATCCCTGAAGGTTACTTGGCTCCGTGGCGTTTTCTGAGATAGCTGTGAGCATGCAGGAGCCCAAGCACACGTCCCCAGAGCAGCCAGAACCACGAGAGGGCAGGAGAAGGTTGGTCATGATCAAATCTGTTTGCAGAGCGTGTGGATAACAGGCAGCGGCTGTAAAATGCAACTCTTGGCACACTCCAGGGAGCCAGGGAGACACTTCTCATCTTCTCTAACTTCTCCCTTGTCTATGTTTTGGGTAACTTTTTAGCATTAGTATTTACAAACATGTGATGGCAAGATGGGTACAGTCCAACATGAAGTGCTGGTGCTGGGTGAGATGCACTGGGACCTGCTTCTCATCCTAATGCTATGAAAAGAGTTTTAACCATTTCCTGCAATGGAAAAATCTAACGGCCTCTTCAAAAAGGAGAGCGAAACCAGCACTGACATTCAGAGCAAGTGTTCAGCTGCTCATTTGATATTCATCTCAGAAGAGGCTGTGATACAAGTGCATCAACAGTCATGCAGCTCTGCCCAGCAGAAAGCCACTACCATCTGAACTTTCCTATGTCAAAACCTCTCCTTGCTCTGATTTAGCATTTGAAACCTGCTCGGAACAGCTGTACTCTGGAAACCTACATACAGGCCCTCAGTCATCCAAGCTTTGCCCCAGAAGGAGAGACAACCACCCTCGTTGTCCTGGGAAGATGAGCAGAGAACTTGCACAGCCTGTACAGCACCTCATACACCTTCCCTGGGGTGCTCGGGGACCCCAGTGCCCCCTGCCTGCCCCTCTCTCCACTTGCACAGACAACTGATCAGTGCCCAGACTCCTTTCCCAACTTTCCATGGCATTAACTATCAAATTGCTTTAATATTTTCTGGTTACAGACCTCAGCTTTACACCAAAGCTACTTACCTGATCTTTAATCAGAGTCCAACATGGGCTGCTTTATTATTTTTTTCATTTCATATCTGGCTACAACAGATAATGCAATTTGATTGCAAATATTTAAGATGTAATTACTTAAGCCCCATTCCCATGCTAAAGGGAGGCACTGTTACTCAGGCATAAGGAAACACTGAAACAGAGATTATGACAAAAAGGTCCTCAGAGTCAGGGCTACGAGCCAGCTGCCGTGCCTCCCAGTGCAGAGATTTAAAGGAATAACTTAAACCTCCTGATCTCAGTTTTATTTGAGCTATTACTTATATTCTGCACAAAGCTTGGAAAGACTGACTGGAAAATATTTTTAGGTCTTAATAGCATCCATAGGTTGAAGGCACACTTATCAACAAACAGAAAGGGCATGCTGAAATTCTGCTGTTAAAATACTGTAAGAAGATTGTAATCCTTCTACCACTTTCCAATTTTCTCTGCTCATTATGTCTTGGGTAGATTAAGCATGACTCTGTACAGTATCTGGCACTGAAGTTTTCCAGTTTCAGCAGCTTTTCAAATATGCATTAGCTAAGCAAAAATGTTTTCCCAAGGACTCATAAAAATCTGAAAGATAGGAGCAGCCAAGATTACAACATGTGGTCTGCAAACTTTCCAGGTGAAAAGTTCTAAATTGCACTGATCAATGCACAGAGGGGATTAAAAAACCCATCACAAGGAGGGGAATCACTGTCTGGGCATGAACACAGCAGTCAATACCAACAGCAAACCCTGTGTATTTTTTTGGTGTAACTGTACTCAGTGTGACAGATCAGAAAAGCAGAATCCTGCAGGGTTTTAATCAACATCATCCACAACAGTAGGTGTGATGATGTAGGGAATCTGTCAAGTTATGTAATCTGCTCACCTCGGGAATTCATGTATTTATATGTATTTATCAGATTGCGACTCCATTCTGAACGTCAAGTTTGGTAAATCTGCTCTTTTTATCTGATTGTTAAATCCACAGTGATACTAGTAAGAAATCACAGAGATGGGGCTGGAATGGTTCTCAGGAGGTCACCCAGCACATCCCCCTTCCAAGGGCAGGGCTAACTGTGCTGACACACTCCTGGGGGTTACAGTGTCACCCATCCTTCAGAGTCCCCAGTGATGAGGATCGTACACCTTTCCTAGGCAATCTAATCCAGTACCTCATTCACACACCAAATTTTCCCCAGGACCTACCTGGAACCTCCCCTGCCACAAATGCAGCCAACTATGTCCTGTCATGTCCAGCAGGGACCCGGAGAACATGCTCTCCTGTCCTCCTTGTGTCTCATCTTCACATTTGAAAACTACTGACATGTTTTCCATGGACTTCCCTAGATTAAACAACTAGAGTTTCTGGAGTATTTCCCTACTGATAGTGTTTTCTAGGTCTTACATTTGCATTGCTTTCTTCTAGACCTTCCACAGTTACCTGGCATTATTTTGGAAGTGCAATGCCTCACACGAAGGTGGTGTATCACCTGAGGCATTACTAATGCTCTGTAGTTAGGTATGATTACTACATCTGCCCAACATGCAACACTTGGCTATAACCCAAGACAATTGTCTTTATTTTCCCCTCTCAAAAACTTAACACTATAGATTTTAGCAATTTTGCTACATTGCCCAGATGCTTCGTGGCTGAGCAACTACTTTGTCACTCATTTACCACCCTAAACCAGAGCAGCTGATTATTCCCCAACACTGAACTTTGCACTTGTCCTTTCTGAACTGCAACTTGTCTTTCTTACAGAATATTTTCCCAGTTCATAAAGACCCTTTAGCAGCCTGACACCTGTGCTGAGTAACTTCTCATTCCCCTCCAGCCTGAAGATCAATGATCCTCCACTCACATGGCAATCCCATCGGACAGGGAGATGACTGTCTCCCCAAGGCAAGCCAGTCTGCTATCAAATCTGAACTCCTGAGAAAAAGCAGTAAGTAACAAGCCCTCCAAGATGAGGACTTAAGATTGTTTGATCCAGTAAATTAGTGGTCACTGATGAGAGAGGCTGGTGATGCCCACCAAAGGGCTGTTTTGACACATGACAATGTGTGGGCAGGAAGGGGCCAGGTGCACTGCAGGATCTCCGGTCACTGTAAGAAGGACTTGGGTGTCCATGTACAATGACACCCTGCAGCAGTGGGGAGGAGATGTATCACCTTCTGCTGGGTCACTTTCTATCCTCAAACTCTAAGGCTTAGTGACACACCTGGGCACAGCCTCTGGCTCCAACACCTGACCCACTTTTCATCAGGAATTTTCACCTGGAATTGTCAACCTTCACTACCACGACACACGGCAGGCTGCAAGCTGCAAAGCCTGGGGCTCTTGCCTCACATTATGGTAACACAAGGTGAGTCACAAGCCAGCTTCCCAGGAAGTCTGAAAGCTCCATCACAGGTAGGTAGACTGGGACAAAACAACCATCAGAGTAATTCACTGAGTTCAGGTTTTTTTGTTTTTCTTTTTTTTTAATATAATGATTTATCAGCCAAGCCTCAGTTCATCTGGGGAGAGAACTAAGAGACCAAGAACAAAAATTAACTAATGAGAGTGCAGTAAGAGGCCCACTGCTTTTGGCCATGTGCTACCAGTCCTTCTGAATGAGAACTCATTGAAAATGGTATAATAGAGGCCTGTAGCAAGGCCAAAACAATGGAACAGCAGCTCTTTCTCAAGCCCTTTGACCACACTGGCAGAGAAATGTGATTAAGATTCACATCAAGAAGCACAGACCATTTCCACTGCAAAAAGACAACCATGGGAAAGCTCTCTCTGAATTAGTGTTGATGGATACCTTTGAAATAATGTAGATGGTTAATTCCATTCTAGAGTCAAGAATGTGTCTTCCAAGCTTACCATTTAAAAAAAAAAGAAAGACAAGAATTTGTTTCCTTGAGCAGGAACACAAGCTGTGCTGAAATGAAGTGTCTCCATCACATGTATAAGCCCCCAAAAGCCCCAAACCAGTGGTGCAGAACTGCTACACCAGTGCGCCCAACTCAGGGCAACAATTTCATGTTTTTCAGCCTGAGGAGTGGCTGGAAATCTGAGTGCTTCTGCCAAGCCCTCAGGTCTGTACGCTCAGATAGACATCTCAGGAGATTGAGTGCTCGGCTTTTTCAGCACTCCTGCCTCTGGATCTGGGCCAAATGACTGTGTCCATTCTGGTGTGCTTCTGGCCATCAGCCTCAGCCAGAACTTTAAATGGAGGAGAAGTGAGGAGTTAAGCTGAGCACATCGGCTCATTGAAGAAGAATCTGCTTCTCAAACTACAACATTTCAAGTGTGATATAGAGCTGTGCACCAGTTATACCCATTCCTGCCTGACGCAGCTGTTCCCACCACTCTTGAAGCAGTCATAATAAAAAAGCACAGGTACCTGGTGGCTAGCAGGGGGTAGGTGTGCAGAGGGCTGAACCAAGCTTCCTTCATCCGTGGCATGCTCTCATATATTAAGAGGTCTTTCTCCGTCAAGACCACTAACACTGGCTTCCAGTGCTTCTCGTTGTCTCCTGGTACCTGAAAAAGAGCAAAGTCTCGGTGAAATAACAAGAGACAAAGCTACTATCATGCAAAGTCTGATGATATGAGTATGTCAAGTCCTGGGCTAAATAATGAACAAAAGAGAGTTTTACTTCTTTGGCTTTTTGACGTCTCTCACCTGAATTTATAACCAGCTGCAGCAGAAATGGAGTAAAGTGCAATGACATCTGCTGCTCTCGTTAGCACTGCCATTTCCAGCCCTCCCTGCCGCCTTCCCTTACTCCATAAATGGAGAACACTGAGACAGAAGAACACTGAGACACAGCTGGCTGTTACATAGCTGTGGCATGCATGAAAAGACCTTAAATGTATATTTATAATGTGCATCATTCATGTGGAGCTGGCACATCAACCTGAGTGCTGGACACTGCTGCTGCTGTTTCTATTTTCATGAGTGAAAAAAGCTGCAACATCACTACTAAAGAAGAGTGTCAGGTAGTAAAAAATAGTGGTTTGGGAGCAGACGGTTTTTTCCTCAGCAGTTCACATTTTCATTGCTTCTCCTTCCTTCATACCGTTCTTCGTTTTACAAGTGCCAATTTATAAAGAGACCCAACCTAAATATGGGCTTGATCTGAAGCACTGATTCAGTAGTGGATCTGCATCCACATTTCAAGCCCATCTGTAGAAGACATCTAAAGACTGGAGCATCAGAGCCCTTTACTGGCTGCAGAATCCGGATGTGGAATTATATTTTGCAGCTTTGACGTGGTAGTCCACATGGCTACACAATTACTGTTACGGGAACCAAGCAGAGATCTTAGAAGTTTTTACTTACTCTACTCTGGCAGCATAGAGGTGTCTTAAAATAGATGGGAATATGAAAGGGTCTCAGTTTCAAGTAGAAATGAAGCTCTAGTCTTTCACAGACAAATCCATCATTTTTCTTTTGGTGCACAGGAAGAAAAAGAAACCCTGTTACGCAGTAACACTTACAGCCATGCTTTGAAACACAAAAATCTCAGCTGAGTACCAAAGGGAATGAAACAAATTCTGTAATTCACCAGAGAAACTGGTTGTCTAATGACTCCTCCATTAAAATCTTCTCTGGGAAAGAGAAGTGGTTGTTTATGCTGTTTTGTGGTTGACACCAGCCTACTTGCCACGGGCATGTGTCGCCAGGCACATCCCTGGGTGGAGAAACATAATGAAGGGATCAGTCAAAGGTTGGCCAGGCTGGGAGTGGCACAGTCAGGAATGGTGATTCGGATCCTTAAGTACGGTGTGCCCTAAGTGATGGATTCAGATTGAGAGCCACATTCAAAACACCCATATTTGATATGTGAAGATGGGGTCCTACAAATTTCTAAACTTTTAAGGACTTTAAAGACAGTTATAAGATAGCTTCACACCAGAACACCAATGCCCAAAGCAGATCTTAAACTAAGATTTTTTTGCTTGCATAATTTTAAGAGGTATTTTTCCTTCTGAATTAAGCATTTCTAATAATCATATTCCTGTTTACAGCATTACTTGCTCATTGGTTGTTCAAGTCTGTGTGTTAATCAACTTAAAGTCATAAACGGTTCACCCTTTTAATGTCTTCAGAAGCAAAGAATTATTTACAGGGGGTTTTTTTGTGGTGATAGTTTCTTGAAATGCAACCTTTCATTTTCAAATAGGGCTGAATAGAGAAGCTGCATAATTAACACACCTATTAATACACTCCAGAAAGAATGTAAAATCCATTCTCACAGCCCATGTACCATGGAAATATTCACATGAGCAAAAAGCATCCTCAGCTTCTTAGTACCACAGTTATTAACTACAGTTAATGCCCTAGTTCCTAGCATGGGAATACAGAAATAAATGTTACAGTTAATGTTAATATCTAATAAATGTTACAGTTAATGTTAACATTTAATTTTTGAGCACCTACCTGTGTTCTTTAACTAGAAAGAATTTAGTACATACTAAGTTTCAAAGCCAGGTTGGATGAGGCTTTGAGCAACCTGGTCTAGTGGAAGGTGTCCCTGCTGATGGCAGGGGGTTGGAACTAGATGATCTTTAAGGTCCCTTCCAACCCAAACCATTCTATGATTCTATGATTCATACTTTTGAAGATTTCCAGAAAAGAAAAGGGAAGATAAATATGAAATCTCTCACAGGATGAAAAAGCAGAATGTTCAGATTCATAATCAGGAGGAGTAAGCAGGCAGCATCTTGGGCTGTTACTTTTTATTTTTCTGTTCTGTGACCACAAGCAATCCAAAGCCTAAGGGAAGCTGCTCCCAGCTTTTCTGCAGAACCACCCTGCCTGTGTAGCATTCTCAATCACAAGCTTTGCTATTAAGTGGCTGGTCAGTCAGCTGTGACTCCAGAAACTTTGAGAAACACTGTTCCCTGCAAAGCAACCACAAAAAAGGGAGTAAAACTCATTTTGCCAGCTGGTCCCACAACTATTTGCTGGACAACCATAAACATCAGGAGACAGAACTTCTAGCGTGGATCCTGAGCCCACAGCTTTGCCCCAGTCCTTCCCAATAGCAGGGTGACTATGGAGAAGATGTGGCTCAGTCATAAGGTATTGAAGATTTTTTCTCAAGAATAAGTGACCTGATACTACCTCTCCTGGTAGGATGTACTCCCTGTTTCTAGGGCATATACCAGGACAGGGAGAGAGGAGAACGATGTTCGCCCACGTCCTGCTGGGAAGCCCTCCCCAGTAAGAAGGGCCGTGCAATACACACACTTTTAAACACATTTTTTAAACCTTTCTGGGACCATAGCTGTCTAACTGCTAAGGAATGCTGGTGTAAGCAGTACTGCTGCTATTTCAGACCTGAAGAAGGATTCGTGTGCCTGAAAGCTTGTCTGGTTTTTTTTTCCAACTGTAACAGCTGATCTAATAAAAGATATTGCCTTTCCTTAAAAAACCTTGAATTGCATTACTGTTCCCTGATTTCGCTGGGGTTTGGATCAGGCTTTAACAGCTGATGCTGTGCTGTTTGACAGGCAGTTGGCACTTCTGGATGGTGTCAAACCGAATATACTGTCCTGTAAATGGTAATAGCAAAGTTTACAAAGGAAGAAGAGAGGCTGCAAACATACCATTAGCCTACATTCAGAACAAATCAACATGGAAAATTAATCCAGATCAAGCAAGTGTCATACCAAGCACGACTACAATAGCAAACAACAAAACAAAAGCAAAAACTTTGCTGCTTATGGGCTGCTAAGTGAAGGATTTGTTCAAGTTTTAAAGGTTTTAAAATCTGATATATCAAATAGGGTAACATGAAATACTTCCGTAAGAGTAAATTTAAGTATAGTTGGAGATACATTTTAGAGGCACCATTTCAGATGATGGTTAGGGCCAGTTTCTCAGCCAGAACTCTGCAGAAAGCTGGCACTTGCGCTACAGTTTCTTCGCCCCAATTCCCACTTGCACAAGTACAATTCAAAGTGCGTTGATCTGTGTTGCAGACAAATAAAATCACCATCCACTCTAAAAAACTTTTCAAACTCACCCTTTTTTCAAAGTAAAAAATGTTAGATCACACCTGGATGAACTAGAGAAAAGAAACATCAGTACTCTTCAAACTTCCCACAATAAAATGAACCAGCAAATTTTTTGCTGGTTGTCTGAACACTGTTCAGGTAGCTTTAAGCAAGAAGTACTAGTGCCCTCTCTCCGTGCTCTGCTCATCTCAGCTGAGGTCACTGATTATATCCCAGGTGAAATTCCACTTCAAGTCAATGAAGCTGTGAATGTTTATACCAGAAGTAAACTTGGTTGTTTTTTTTTTCTTTATTTATTTCCTAGACACACTGTGCCTCTAGATCAAAGTCTTCAAGTACAAACCTAAAAAGGGAGAACATATTCTAACAAAAAAACTCCAAGTGCAGTGAAGCATCCTTTTTGGTACTCACAAACCTCTTTGCTCCTCATATACTCACCCTGTGAAGTGCAAACCTCACTTTTTCCCATATGCATCTCTCTGCTTTACCTTTCCAAATTCAGAGAATTTTTAATGTATATCAGGGATGAAACCTAATTTTTTTTGTGTATAACAACATGATGGCTGAGCCTGGGACAACACCAGTGGAGACCTGCATTCATGTTGTGCTCAGGCACAGGCTTCCTCTGCAAAGTCTGTCTATATGCTCTGCGTTTCTGTACCGACACCACAGCCTCTGCTGGGGTGGCAAGTGCAGCTGTAACACACATGGCAGGAACAGACATAAATGTGAAAGTGAACAAAAAGTGCACAAGAACAGCCGCTGTATTTCAGCAGCTACGTGGAGACTTGTCCATCAGCCTTTGGCTGACACAAGAGCAAAAGTGCTTCAACGCAGAAAGCCAACAGCTCATGCAGCACTAGGACACACCAGACCCCACTGCACCGAGGATGTGCCCGAGCTCTGGCTGCTTCTGGATGCCTCTGCAGTGGTGGGCAGCATCACTCCAGGCTTTGCTTTGGGGCTGGATCTGTGGTCTGAAGGACTGTCTCTGCCAATAACACATAGCAAGCTCAACGCTACCCGTACAACTGCTCCTGCTGGTTTTCTGGCAACTGCTCACATGCTTAAGGCCACTGCTTGCAATGTACCCTTAAAGAGTAACTCCTCTGATACACAGCAAACAATATTTCAAAGAGAAGCCAGCCTGTTTTCCCTTCAAGTGATGGGGACCCCTGGCCCCTTTAATGGGTATCACAGCTTCCAAATCTTTAATAGTTTTCACATATAATTAGTTGCCATAAAGATAACGGCATCTCAGTGGAGAGAAATCGTTTTACAAATGGTTTGGACCTTTGCTCTTTCATCTGCCAGGTCTCCTTTTCGTAAGGTTTTTCTTTGAATTTCAGTTATTCATCTTCTTCAGGCTGCCAGGAATGGATGAAAGAATACTTTTAATCTATGAGGCTCACAGATAATTAAATTAGAGGCCTCAGTCTACTCTGGAAAGCTGTTTTATATTTTCATTAACTCAAAAGGGGCATTTCAATTACTTTCCCTGTTTAGTAAACAAATTATATATTGCCAGCAGACTCCACTGCAGCAAGCATCCAAAATGTGGCCTTTGAGAGAACTGATGTGAAGGTAGCAAGTTTATGCTTACAGTCAGTGGTTTAACCCCCTTTTCCATCACCCCCTTCCAAATCCCGGAGCTACACTGTCCCCTCACACAGAGCACAGGAGAAGCAATCAAGAAAGAATTTTCCAAAACATTTTCTTGCTATTTTCCCTCCTCCCTCACTTAAAATCTCTCCACGCTGACAAGAGCCAGCTGGCACACAGGCTGGGGTAGGCTCTGCCACGTATTTCTTGCCTTTTCATTGTCTTTTGATGAAGGACTGTGTCCATGTTCAGAATAAATTTGATTCATTTACAGAAACCTACTTGTCAGTTCCTGAAAATAACAGCTGGGACTGAAAAGGATTTCTGCAAGACAAACAGCAGTGATGCACAAATACATCATGCAAACCCCAGCATATGCAACAACACTGGTATTTCTGTGAGCTCATCTGATGGGAGGCAATTTGCAACGCAGGAGGGGGTGTAAGTGACAGTGACAGGCAGGGGATATCAACACCTCCCACGCCACGTGCAGATGAGATGTGTTTTGCTGCTAAACTTTGTAGTTTTAAACAGGAAATAATGTGCACATTGTTTAGGGGGAAAAAAAAAAAAAGCTAATGAAAATGTGGTTTTGTTCTTCTCTCTCTTTGACCTCAGTGATGGCTCAAAGATGGCTTGTACCATTATCAGACCTGAATTATAGTCAGTGCACACACAAAAATCCCCCAAAGGGCACAATATAGCCTCCTGAGATCTGCGTGCAGTGAGCGAGCAATGCACAGGCTTGGCCATGAGCAGCCAGAGCCACGCAGGACAGGTGGGACCTGCAGCAGGGACCATGCTGATCCACCTCTCGTGTGAACCTGTGCAGAGCTCAGGGGTACACTGATAGCTATGGTTACAGGCACTGCGGAGTTTGGACAGGACACTCATTCTCAAGACAGGTCTGTTCAAGTCTGAACCCCTTCTAAATATCCTTTAAAATGACACAATGCAAGCCAGCTTTTGTCAAAAGTAACACAGTCAACCATGTCAGCACAGCAATATGTTCAAGCCAATGTCCTGACATGACTCTCTGCACTCATAGGTTTTCAAACAGCTCTGGCTCATATCCAAATATCTCTAAATGTCACGAGAGGCACCTCAGTCCTCTGTACTCACCCATGCAAGAAAGGCAGGTGATCTGAGACCTTTTCTACAGCCAAACAAGAATGTCTGATTCCAATTTTGTAGTGGAGGTTTGCTCCACAGCTCGGTGAAGTCAACCAGAGTTTTTCTAATGACTCTTTAGGTTTTGGAGTAGACCCTTGAGAAACAAACCTGGAGGGCTACGTGTCTCCCATACTACAGAGAAGATGGAGCCAAATTCTTCTTGGAGGTGCACAGTGAGAGGATGGGATTCAACACCCCCAAGTTGAAACAAAGGAAATTTGGATTTGATACTCAGAGAAACTTTTTCAGTATGTCATGGTGGTCAAACACTGGAACAGACTGTGAAATGTCCACCCATCGAGATAATCACAACATAACTGGGCAAGGCCCTAAGCAAGCTGGTCTAGTTGGCTCTGCTTAGAGCAGGGGCGTTGAACCACGAGAACTCCCTTCCACCCTATGTTATTCCATGAGTCTATGAAACACTGGAAAAAATGAAAGAAGTCTAGATTTAGACCAGCAAGTCATTATTTAAGTTGTCCTTGAGTTAAACTGATTGTATAATAATTTGGTACATGTGCAGTTTTTCATGCATATGTGTTGCATGAATGTTGCATCAATACAAATGCATTAGTCATATAAAATGGTTACTGCAGCTTAAGGGTTTGCAGGATGATTTGAAGTTACCTTGTACCTTAAATCACTTAGAGCTGTATAAAATGTGTATCCTTGATCTTTCTGACTTGGTAGAGTTTAACACTCCAGATTTCCTTTGCAGTAGATTCCTTGCAAAAGATAAGGAATGTAAGGAGATGGAAAACCCAGAATCACATAAACTTAATTCACAGTACAACATTAAGTAAAAATATATTTCACGACTGCATGAGAAAAGTTTAAAAACCTGATGTGTTCTCTTTCTTCTCCTGATCCACGGGTCCACAGAAACTGGTTAACTAAATACACAGAAACCCAACTTCAGGGGACTCAAAGCGGGGGGGAAGTAATTAATCTATTTTAGAATCGTCTGCCATGGCCCAGGATCATTTTGCTATGCACGAGGTTGATGTTTGAAGGTCCGCAAGTAAGAGCTCTGTTGAAGTGACACAGGAGACTCTTAACTTTCTGATAATGTCAGGGAAGAGCAAACAGGCAGAGACCACAGGAGATGGTAAATGCTCCAAACCATTTGTTAAAAAAGATACCACTTGCTTTTCACCTTAGAGAAGGTGAAAGGAACTCTGCTGTGTTTTAAGAAGCCTTCTGATGCTTTCTGAGTAAAACACATGTTCTTCTATAGCAGCTTCTTCAGACTGAGAGCACTGTCTGAAACTAAGCAGAGGTAATTTATGATAGCAAGGCTTTGCAAACAGCAAAGGTCCACTCCTGAAAAGATACAGTGTTGAGCTAAATTATTTCTGTAGAAAAACCTGCACTTTGCTATCTTCCCCCCTCCTCCTCCCTCCCCTTTTTATTACTTCTCAGAAATTGCCAAGGGAGAGCAGGGAATGGAAAAGGACATTTCATCACTCAAGGGCTGTGGCAAGGAAGACCTGCCCAACCTGTAAGTTGCAAGGACAGAGACGGAAGGCAAGTCAGACACGTGGGAAGGTCAGAACAACCCTGCTGGCACTGGCAGCTGAGGCTGATCAAGAGACAGTGGACAGGCCAGATACAGTTCAACTGACCTTCAAAGCCAGTTTGACTGGGAACAAACCTGTGCTGGAAGAGGTCATGTTTTAAGTATTGCTTATAAAAGAGGCACAGGGCAAGGAGGTAAAAAGGGAAGGAAAGACCATTAACCTCAGGCTTTTCTTATCAGTTATACTGACTGAACAAATGAGTGGCAAGGCTGAAGGGTGGAGAAGAGCACAAAGCTGCCAGATGAAAGCAAAGACCTGTGCAAAAGTGGAGGTAATCGCAACCATATCTCTCTTCCAGCACACTCACACCACACATTCAGGATAAAAATGAAGATGCTATTAGCAGACACCTTTGCATCTCTTGTGTGTTCATGCATTTTGCCTACACATGGCTTATCTATGGGATGTCTGGGCTCTTCTGACTGCAAGTGAGGATGGCTGTAAACTTGCTTTCTGAAACATCTCATGAACATATCACAGAAAGGCTGGTGAAAGCAACTGCCTGAAGTTTAATATTTAAATACAAATCATAGAATTAAAAAGTAGGATGAACTGTACTTCTGAGACAAAGCTCAGTTCTGTGAGAGCTGAGCAGCTGTGCTGTCTCCAAAGCACTGTACCTCAAAGCACGATAATCCTACTACTGAGGGAAAAATACTGAACTTTCCTTTAAAATGGAGCAGTCCTGTTCCTCCAGTAAGCCTAGCTTGCCCTAGGAAACACTAAGAAGGACCATGGCATGATTGTGTATCTTCATCTTCAGTTCATGGAGCCATTTTGCACATCAGGGTCAGCCCCAGAAGGAAAAGGGATCATACCTGTGAATGGTTTTGAGTTAGAAAGAAGAAGAGAGACGAGGACCTTTGGAAGCTCTGCCACATCTGCTGTGCAACTGCTGAAGAATGGATACTGTTACTCGGTGGTGGGGAAAGACAATTTCCCCCAGGTATGCCCCAGTATACCAAAAGCAATCACTACCTCTGCTATGCCCTGCAGGTTGTTATATGCCAGAGTTTTGCTGTGAGCAGAGGTTTCTGTTCAAGCCAAGTTGAAGCATTTTACAAGGGAGTTCATCATCATCATCAGGGGAGTATAATGGTAATTGTACAGGAGCAGAATCAATGTAAAGACACCACAGTCTCACCTCACTGGCTCTAAAGAGTCTATAATTTACAATTGAATCTGACTTCAGCTGATCAAGTGGGTACCAGATTAGGATAAATGAGTAATAATACCCATTACCTCAAGAGATACACACATCTCATCTTTCAATTCATAAAAGTGCATGGATTTCTAATCATCAGCTCAAGAACACTTGTCAGCAGCACCCAATCAAACGTGAATGCTGGAGGTGGAGTTTTGATTTGAAAGCAGCTTGCAGTTTTTAATGATGGCTCAAACGTGTAAAATGTCATTTGAAATTATTACGGTGTCTGTTTCATGAAGGACAGGTAATCATCAATGTCTACATTAAAACTACAGTGACTGAAATCTGTCCCAGAAGATGTTCTGCGCCTTTCTCTATCACACTGTCTTTCCAAATATTCAATCTCAGAAATGATGGCCCATCATGACAGGTACCTTTTCAAGACTGAAAGATTTGACTGCTTTAGTCAAAGGTCATTATAAATCACAAGTGCTGGAAGAAAAAATAGCAGGGGAGCAATGCAGAGAGAACAAGATGTTTCTTTGTCATTGTTATTATGTTGTCTCAAGGACAGTCCAGAATATTGCATAGTTTCAGTCTACCGTGTCATTGATCAATATTCAATAATACTGATAGACTGCAATGCAACTAATGACCTCAAGCAAATGAGTGAATTCACTACACGCCTGGCACAAAAATGTATTACCTTCAAAAAACACTAACAAAATCTATATGCTATATATGCTCTATATGCTTCATCAGCTGGAATTTTGAACATGCTGAGAAATACTTGGAAGCCTTATTGAAAAAGAAAAAATACAAGTAAATGAATCCTTAATAATTTGGCTTAATTTTGAAAAAATGCAGAGCAGCCATAGATTTCTGAAAAGTTTGGTGAAAATTAGTCACAATTTGGAATCCAAACCTAATTATTTAGATGCCTAAGTAAAGATCTATCACAAAAAGTTCCTATATTTGCGGTTTTTAATTATTTATTTATTTACCTGGTTGTCGCTTTCAAAGCCATTCAATTATTTGAGACCATATCTTTTTTTAAATGGATAGAAACATAAAGTCTGTATCTCTGCCAGCACAATGACAGACCTCCACAAAATATATATGACACTCAAGGAATATAACTGCTTTCTTGGTGGGGAAAAAAAGAGGAATTTAAACATGTGATTTTCATTAGAATTTGTTTATCAATTCGAAATTTTTTGATGGGCAAGATGATTTTGCTTTTTTCTCAGAAACCCACCTGAGCTCCAGGAGACCCCTGCCCCCCAAACAAGTTTCCAGTTTGCTACAACTTGGCAACCAGTATGGAGAGACAGAAGATCATGCAGTAGGTCTTCATGGTGGATCTCAGTAATGGTGGATCCCAGGGTGCCAGTAAAGGTAGAAAATGAACAGTTATTCCATTA